CATTAAGGTCATATAGATGTACCAGAAAGATACATGAAGGTTATATAGATGTATGTGAAAGACACATTAAGGTTATATAGATGTACGTGAAAGACACATTAAGGTTATATAGATGTACGTGAAAGATACATTAAGGTTATATAGATGTACATGAAAGACACATTAAGGTTATATCTTTAATTTATTTTACATCAGATTATACAGTAAACTATGGAGAAAAAGTACGTTTTTTACTGAATTTTGTCAGAAATGTGTACTTCATATCTCTAACACATAAAGCTTTTAACAGTTATTTTTATAAAATAATTTATCACTCAGTTTTTGTAGCATTGTACTTTATTATGTTTGTGTGAACTACATTATAAAAAAGATGTCTGAGTATGCCAGGCCTAGAATAGCCAAGCGATGAAACAGTAGTATATCACATCTGTTTTGTTTATTACGTGTTGTTAGCAGTTTTACTAATGTCAAATCGTGTTATACGTATACAAAGCTAAATCTAGATGAAATATTTATCACACAAAGCTGTTGTTGAAGTGTATAATTAAACCATACTAATTAATGAGAGTGTATAAGACAGAAAGGCTACAGTTAATTTAATTTGTCAATATTTAATATCTGTAAGTAGAATGTGGACTTAAAATACACAAATGTAAAGGATTTTTTCATGGTGTAATAAGTTTCTTTTATCTAAATAGAAACATATTATTACACGTTAAAAAAGACTGTTAAACTTGTGTATTTTATTGAAATTTACCTATTATTTTGACTGGGAATTTGTTTTAGTAGGAATGCACATTTTAAGCCTTGCTAGCTGTTTTGTCTGAAGCCACAAGAAAAAAAAAGTCCGAGATAATTTATATTTTTGTTTTCTCTGTTTAAAAGTTAGAAAAACAAAGAATTAATTTTGATCTCTGTTGTAATTTACCCTTAACCTTAGAACGAGAAGAAAGTTGGGATGGCTATGGTGAGTGATGGTAAAAGTCGACCACATCCAATACGATTAAAACTCTCAGGAAATACATTGGTTCTTCAAAAAGAAGAAATTATTGATTCTCCTAATTCCAAGAGCCAGAAAGTGGAACCTCCTAAAGATTCTAGTGTATGGTTTTTCTCTTATTTTATTTTATTTTACAGGTATGTGAGTTTTTGAGATTTTTATTTTCTGTTGTACTCAGTATATTACATAATGTTCTCTGAAACTAAATTCTGTTAAGTTTGGCACACTTAAGCTCCCAAATTTCATGTTTTTCACTTGTAGGAGAGGGTAGTAACCCTAGGTCGACAGAAGGTTGGAGGCTTAGGACTTAGCATCAAGGCAAGTTACACAAACAATCTGTACATTTTTAATGTAGATGTATTAGTAGTATATCATAGATGTTTAAATAACACCTGTAGGTTTTTGAACAGTTAATAAGTTAACTTCAACATTTGTTTTGTGAGCACTCTGTTTACCAAGTTTGTTTAGGAGTCACTAACTGAAGAAACGTTAATGGTTCTGGATGTTGGAGTGAAGCTTAGAAGTGATGGGAATCATATTTCATATTTCCCTGAGAAATATATTTTTATCAGCCAGTTTTGAAAAAGATTTTTACGTACTTACAGGATGTAAACAAGATGAAGATTCATCATCAGAAAACTTCATACCGCTCTTAATAGATGATCTTTCATGAATATGTTTTGTGAGGTCTCTTACTGCAGAGGTCAGATGTTGTCTAGTGGTCAGTGTGCCAAGCCACAGACCATAACATCCAAAGATTTCATTTTCAGCTACGGTTCAATTATTTGGCTAGAAGTTGGGTAAAGCCCTTGTGGATACAAGTGCTACCAACTGGCCTAGTTGGTAATTTAAAATTAGAGATGGTAGTACCTTAAACCTAAGGGATTTTTGACATGGTCAGTTAGACAATGTGTTGTATACAGTCCATTTAGGTTGAAAATACAAATAAAAATGATCTCCTTTGTCTTAGCTTATTGAAATGTAAGCACCTTCATTGTTGAGTGAAAATGATTTAAATAATCTATAAGGAATACCTGAACCAGACTTTTCTGTGAGAATGTTAGCTAAAGATATGTTTATCATTTTGAACAGTAACATAAATAACAAAGTATAGAATATATTTATTTTATATTCCATTTTATAATCTTATTCAAAGGATGATGTCTGTTGTAGCTGTAGGTGTTGTTTGATTTAAAATACTACATCTGTTGTAGCTGTAGGTATTGTTTGATTTAAAATACTACATCTGTTGTAGCTGTAGGTATTGTTTGATTTAAAATACTACATCTGTTGTAGCTGTAGGTATTGTTTGATTTAAAATACTTACATCTGTTATAGCTGTAGGTGTTTGATATAAAATACTACATCTGTTGTAGCTGTAGGTATTGTTTGATTTAAAATACTGCGTCTGTTGTAGCTGTAGGTATTGTTTGATTTAAAATACTACATCTGTTGTAGCTGTAGGTATTGTTTGATTTAAAATACTACATCTGTTGTAGCTGT